TAGTCAAATTTTCAAATTATGTTTTTGTTTAGAGATAAGTAGCGATATAAAGATAATTTATTTATATAACTTTTTAATATAATTTTTATATGTTATTAAATAAATGAATGCACTCAATATTATGTTGTACTTATGATTTTGATGATTACAAAACACATTTGAGTGATTAATTGATTTATTTAAGTGTGTAATTAAATTGTCAATATACTGCAAAGTAAGCAAAATGAGATTGCATTAAAAAGGACTCAAAGGGTAAAAATATGCAGAGAGCCGGTTTAAGAAAATTGCAATCGGCTCTGGGAAGCAAAAATGCAGAGAGCTGGCTGCAGATTTTGTTGAGCCGGCTCTACACGCAAGAAATTCAGCTGCTGTTTTGGTGCGCGCGGAAAATGGAAGCAGAGCCGGCTCCCACTTTGTAGCCGGCTGTGAGGGTGCATTTAATGCACAACGGTCATGTTATTTGAAGATTATTTAATATAATTAAAGTTGGAATCTTAAAGCCGGCTCTAGGCTTTGCAGCCGGCTGTGGAAGAAAACAGAATGTGCAGGAATTCTGCAGAGCCGGTTGCAGAAATGGTGAGCCGGCTGTACAAAGCCGGCTCTAGGAAGTTAAGCCAGCTCTCCTGACAATCCTGCAACTCGAGTTTTGCGTCCTGCAGAGCATTAAATGACCCCCAACGGCTAGTAACGGCTATTTTCGACCATGAGGCTATAAATATGGTTGGTAACAGATCTGAAAAAGTTTGGAGAACATTATATTGAATATCTTTACCTACCAACTTGTGTTTTAACTAGAGGTTTTGATCTTTGAGAGATCTTTGTTTGTAATCCTCTTCTTGTGCTATTAATAAGTGATCTTAAGGGTGTGTTGATTCCTTTAAGAGTGATTTATTGAGAGGATTTGTGGGGTTTACATTGTAAAGGGGTGAGGTTTGAGAGAAATACTCATCTTCTTGTAAAAGGATTGAGTGACTCCTTTAAGCCATCCTTGTCTTTTTTAGTGAAGAGTGTAGATAAAATCCTTGGTGAGTAAAGCTAAGGTAGAGGACTAGGTTCCAAGTGATTGGACCGAACCTCTATAAATTCATTTTGCAAGCTCTTCTTCTCTACTCTCTTTAACTTTGGTTTTGTGGTTGAAAAAGGGAAGAATTTTTGGAACTCCAATTCACTTCCCTCTTGGAGTACATTGAGTCAACATATTATAGATCC